CGACGAGGTCGAGGGGGGGAAGGTCGAGGGGGGCCCAAAGAGGGTCGAGGTGGAGGTGGCCTGGGTGCTCTGGGTGTCGCGCGCACTGCTGTGCGAGTAGGTCGAGTAGGTGCTCTGGAAGCTCTGGTGCGACATGAGGGCAGGCGGCCCGGTCGAGGTCATCCGGGCGTGTGCTGTCTGCGTGGTTGGCGACGGCGACGGTGGTGGTGGAGGATGGGAGACGGTATAGGTGGTATGGGCTCTCACCAGACCCGAGTGAAACGATAGTCCGCCCTCCATACTGCTTTCATGGATCTCCTTGCACCAGGCGCTAGGCTCCCTAGGCGGTCAGGGTCGCTGCCAGCTAAACCTCACACGGGGCGGCCAAGGGCTGGGGGGGGTCGTGCGGCCGACGGCCAGCATGCAAAATGGCGGCTCTTGGGCACAGGGCTGCAGCTCCGGCTTTTGCGGGAGTCTGCCGGCGATGGGGGGGTGGGAGTGGATGTGCGAGCGCGTGCGAATGATGCAGAGATGAGGAGAAGAGGAGGAGGAGAAGAAGGAGAGAAGGCGTGTGTGTGTGTCTGTGTCTGGGAGAGGCCGTCGAGGATGCCGCCTGTGTGGCATGCCCGCCCGCCGCCCTCAAAGGGGGCGCGTTGGCTGTTTCACCCGGGCCGGCAGAACGACACGTGACGTGCATGGCGATACAGTGCGTCTGTGTCTGCCATGTCGTGGGTGGTCGTGTATGTGTGTGATGAGTGCGTCTCGTACATGGCACACCTACAGAACCCGCCGTGTAAGCAGGCGGATGGGTATGACAGGAGTCGTCGGTTGGGCATTGCCCACCCATTGCCCACAGGGCGACGCGCCGTGAGTCAGGCGGGCGGGCGTGGCAGAGGCTGCTTCATCACCATGTGTGCCGTGGAAATGAGTGGATCGACGAGGCGCCGCCCTTCCCTTGCGACGACAGGCCTGTTCTGCCGGCAGAAGGGGATGCCTTGGGCCGCCATCCACCGCCTTATTACATTACATACTAGCATTTACTCCTCCTCCTCCTCCTCCTTCTCCTCATACCACTATACTGTGTACTAATCTATATGCACTCTGCCGCTCTCCCTGACCACGATGACGATGACGATGACAATGACGATGCCCTCCCTCCCTCCCTCGCCGTCCGTCGTCTCGTCTGTGCATAGCGCACCGCGTTACATAGCCGACTCTACCTACTTACTTAGACTACATACAGCACTAGCACTTACATAGATAGCACTTGCACCCCTTTCTTCTTCCTCACCATCACCCGCCAACAGCACCTTGCAATCCATTGCGGCACCGGCATATTCCTCCGAATGACATTGCATGCTCTTCTTCTCTCTTCCTCCTTCTCCTCTTCTTCCATTTCCTCTGACACATACTATTAACCCATTACTAAGACATTCTCTTATCCTTCTGCCGTGCTTGTCCCGGCGTCAGACTGCTCAGTGCCTCTCCCTATCCCTCGTCCGCGCCCCCACTAACCACCTCCCCAATGCCCCACGCTCCCACTCGCACTCCCCCTCTCCCACCACGGCCGCCAGGCGCTGATAAGGCTGGCCGCAAGCTTCTAGTGCTGCTCCATGGGCCTGATTCTAGCGTGGACATGCATCTGATGTCTCACAGCCGAGCCATGTCGCCGCACCATCCGGATGCCGCGTGCGCCTAGGCCCAAGGCTAGCCGCAGATCAAGAGTGAATGCGGTTCTGCGCACGGCCGCCGTGATGGTTGCCGCAACAAACGACATGTGCCTGTCGAGGCGCGGCTGAGCAACCGTTGACGCTTCAACGCGACGCTCAACTCTGCTTCCGCCATCCATCTGCCATCCGTGACATGTAGCCTTGCTGCCATTCACCCTCGCTTCCTCACTTTAGTCATCTCGCCACCCGCCCCATCTCGCTGCCATCACAAAGCCCGCCAGGCAACACTGCGCCTCACCACCTGCAGCCCCCTCAACCCGCATGCCTGACCAGGACCTCATCTGCCTGCCCTCCCTATACATCCATCCATATCCACATACATATTCGTGCATAGCCTCTTGCCCATCGACCATACCATCACCCGCCCGCTAGCTCCAGCCCGTACCCGTCTCCACTCGCCCAACCCACACGTCACCCGCCGCTCGCGCGCGCACCACAATGGCAGGCCCTTTGGCCAACGCCAACGTCCAATTTTCCGGCCCACCCTACATGCATCCTTTCCGTCCCGCCTCCTCCATGAGCGCCAACCGTTTCGACGAGGGCTACTCGGAAGATACCAGGAGCCAGAATGAGGGCGACATGGTTATGCAGACCGACCTGAGGCTCGGTGACTCCCATCGCAATCCCGATCTGCCCTTCAGCCTGCCCGACTGGGTTCTGGCTCTGAGCGAAAATGAGCGTAGTGGTACGTCTGCCAGTACCCAGCTGACCCAAATCAATCCTAACATGCCATTCTAGAATTCGCCTACGCCATCTTGCGCTCGCTGCGCACCTCGTCCATAGCCGGCATCGTCGAGAAGCTGAACCCCCTGCTCCATCTCGATCCCGTCATACACCTACCCCCCGAAATCACCTTCCAGATCCTCTCCTACCTCAGCCCAGAAACACTGCTGCGCGCATCCACATTGTCACGCGCATGGAGGGAACGCGTGCTTGACAGTCCTCTCTGGAAACTACTCTTCAGGCTCGAGGGCTGGAACTCAAACTTCTCCCAAGTGCGTGCATTCGAAGAGTCGCAAAGGCAGAAGCGCGCAGATTTCAAGGAAAAGGAGCGCAAGACGCGACATAGAGCAGCCGAAGATACCGATTACGGAAAGCCGTCCCATAAGAAGCGCGTGCGGAATCAACAACTTTTCGGCGACGGCACTCTGCCAGACAACGGAGCGCAAAATGCACTCGATTCCCCTGCTAGCCGCCCTACCGGAAACGCATGGGGTGAGCAGCATGGTGCAGTCGAGGCCGACGACAGTCCTGTCAAATCAGAGGACAAGATGGAAGGCCTGTCGTTCCACGGCACCTCGCCTCTCGCCTCGCCTACCAATGCACTACGCCGGGAAAGACGCCAAGGCCTACCATCCGAAGACACTACATCCTCGACAACTTCAGCAGTCTCCAATAGCCCCCCAATACATCCGTCGCTTCTTCTTCCTGGCCCGGAAGCTAAGATTAATTGGCAATTTCTATACAAGCAAAAGAGGCGTTTAGAAGACAACTGGAGCGCTGGCCGATTTACAAACTTTCAACTTCCACACCCTAACCACCCAGAAGAAGCCCATACTGAATGCGTGTATACCATTCAGTATTCGGGCAAGTATCTCGTCAGTGGAAGTCGAGACAAGACTATCAGAGTCTGGAATCTGGATACTCTGCGCCTAGTGCACCCACCGCTCATTGGCCATTCGGCTTCAGTTCTCTGTTTACAGTTTGATGAGCGGCCCGACCAGGACATTATAGTGTCTGGTGGGAGTGATTGCAGAGTCATCTTGTGGCGGTTTTCAACTGGACGCATCATTAAGGAAATTGAAAAGGCTCACTCAGAGTCAGTCCTGAATCTCAGGTTCGATGACCGCTACTTGGTGACTTGCTCAAAAGACAAGACCATCAAAGTCTGGAATCGCAAGGAAATGATGCCCACCGATGATACCTATCCCTCGTCAACCATGAAATCAGCCGCCAAATTTCCATCGTATATAATTAATATGCAGGACTACGTCGCTCAGCAGCATTTGCACCTTAAGCCGCTTGCCCCTTACAGCCTCATCATGACTTTAGAAGGTCACGGTGCAGCAGTAAATGCCATCCAGATTCTCGACGGACAGATTGTCTCTGCATCCGGCGATAGAAGCGTCAAATGCTGGGATGTCCGGACCGGTGCGTGTACACGAACCTTTTCTGGCCACACAAAGGGAATTGCTTGTGTCCAGTTTGATGGACGACGCATCGTCAGTGGAAGCTCAGATGAGAGTGTGCGTATATTTGATCGTGCTACAGGTGCCGAAGTCGCCTGCTTGAATGGTCACAGTAATCTTGTGCGCACCGTACAAGCCCAGTTCGGAGACTTGCCTGGCAACGAGGAAGAACTAGAAGCTGAGGCTCGTAGTGTGGATCGAAACTACTTTGCTGCGCAAGCTAGCGGTATGTTATCTGAACAAAACCTTAGCAGAGCGGAGCGACGTGCCCGCAACGCTGGGTCACGCGACCCAACCAAGGTCTTTGCCTATGGGGCCAAGCTACCCCCAGGAGGCGGAGGCAGCAAATGGGCGCGCATAGTATCTGGATCTTATGACGAGACTGTGATTATTTGGAAGAGAGGACCTGATGGAGCTTGGGAAAAGTCTCAGACATTGCTTCAAAACGACGCAGTTCGAGCCGCGGGCGGCCGACCTAGGAGGCCTGTCGTTCAACCTGTAGCCAACGCAAATGCTGCGGGACAACATAACAATCAGCAACTCAATGCCGCCCAACAAAACAATTTCCAGACGCTGGCGCAGCAGGCTCAGGCACAAGCCCAAGCAGCTCAGACTCTGGCACAACAAGCACATGCTCTTCACGCAGCTTCACAAGCTATGCATGGCCCAATTGGCAATAACGCCGCCGTGAGTAACATCACAGCCGGGCCTGTCATAGCGCCCAACCAACCAGTTAGCCATGCAGCAGTCGGACAGCCAGGTCCAGCAAATGCGCAACCGCATCATCACCACCACCACCATCACCATCATCACGCTCCACACCCACTAGCTGCCCCCCTCAACACAAACGGTACCAACTCACGAGTATTCAAACTCCAATTCGACGCACGTAGAATCATCTGCTGTAGTCAAGATCCCACCATTGTAGGCTGGGACTTTGCCAACGGCGACAAAGACATCACCCTCGCCAGCCAATTCTTCGGCGATTCATACTAAACACTTTCTGGCGTTTTTATTATTATGTTTATGTAGAATGAAAAACGAACACCTTATCACGTGAATAATTTCTTTCCCCCCCCCCCCATCCAGTCCAGTAACCTCCTTACGTATCAAACCACTCCAACCCATCCTCCCTCCCAAACACCGCCCGATACACCCTATCCCCATCCCCCTTGACCACCTCCTCCGTATGTATACTATGCAAACTATATACCCTCTCCTCCGCACTACTCCCATCCGTGCCTTCCTTTGCAGCCCCGAAAATCCGAATGTGCACGTATCCATCCTCCAGCGCTGGCAACTTGACTTTGCCGAATAAATGGATGCCGTACGCGGATGTGGCGGCGCGTACGAGTTCCAAGTCCGAGGCGGTGAAGGAAGTTAGGGAGGTGTCGGAGAGGTGCTGGACGCGGGTGAAGTATTCGGGTTCGTGTTCTGGTTGGGTTGGGTTGGTTTATGCGATTTTATTTTGGATGGATGGATGGAATTTGATGATTTAGAGTGGATTTTAAGGGGAAAGGGAGAGGAAGAGAGGGGTGGGTTTACTATCATGGTCACGACGTAATTTTATGAGTTCGGCTTTTACGTCTTCGAGGATGGAGGAGAAGGCGTCGATGGAGGCTTGGTGCGGGGCATGGGGTTCGGAGAGGCGGACTGTGTCTTCGGTCGCCATTGTTGTTTTTCTGTTGTTACTTTCTGATTGGAGTCAAGGAGAAAGAGAACCAGTTCAATCCGATTTATTCGAGGGAATTGGTAAGAAAGGTGGTCAGATACTAGAGGTGTTTTGGGGGTAATCATTAATTCAAGTGTGTAAAGCAAGAGAGGAGGGGGGATATGTAGATTGCCAAGAACGACCCTAAAACTCGGGTCTGGTTGCGCAAACCTGCTTTCTCACGTTGCTTCCAACATTGTAAGCTGGCGTGAAGATCAATGAGGTGTAAAGTGGGGATTTTCGTGTATGGAATACAGGGCCTGGACCCTGCAGCATATGGAATGACTAGCAAGACTCAGCTGCAACGCGTACAGTCCTTTTCCCCGCACTCCATCACCCGCTTGATGCCTTTGACGCGAGATCTTATACAATGCAAAGCACTAACACGTGATAGAATGTTTGTTTTGTTGGGCTTGTTAGCTTACTGGGCCAATGTGACTCATTTAGGTAATATTGACATCTGGCTACCCAAAAGAGGGGCCAAAGGGCGCGCTCTAGCGCTTTCCGATGGTAAAAAGCAGTTTACCGTTGAAGCAATGTTAAGAGATTCCCACGCAATGTTTATTTAAAAGAAAAAGGTATCCTTCATAATATCTGGAAATGAGTTGATACAGCTCCTCTCCTCGCAACACCGAAGCAAAAAAAAAGAAGCTTGTCTACGCAATGGCTAGTACCACAACCACAACAACAATCTACGAAGACCACATCGAATTAACACCGATACGGCCGCCAAACATAATCACTCTCAACATCCCTCAAAAGAAATCCTCGCTCCACTCTGTCACATCCTTCACCCAAACCCCCGATGAAGCCCCCGAAAATGCAGCATACTCCGTCTCCGCCATCCCGGACGGCGGTTACGGCTGGATCATCGTGCTAGGCTGCTCCATAACAACCTTCTGCCACAACGGCATCATAAACTGCTGGGGCGTCCTGCAAGCCGCCCTCCTAAACTCGACTCTTCAAACCGTCCCCCCCTCGACCCTCGCCTACGTCGGCTCCCTAGGTCTCGCCGGCGGCGCTCTCTACGGCCTCCTCGCCATACGCCTGATGCGGCACGTCGGCTGTCAAACCACCATTTTGCTCGGCATCAGCCTCATGTCGCTGAGTCTCATCGGCGCGAGTTTCTGCACGAAGAATCTGGCGGGCTTGTTCGGCACGTATGGGGTTGTTGGGGGCGTGGGCATGGCCATGGTGTATGCCGTTGCTAATACGCTGCCTGTACAGTATTTTAGCGCGCGCCTGGGGCTTGCCAATGGGCTTATCAAGCTGGGCGGTGGCATAGGTGGGTGCGTCATGGCGCTTGCGTTGGAGGCGCTGTACAGACGTGTGGGGATTGCGTGGACCTTTCGTATCCAGGGTTTGCTTACGCTGGCTTTGGGGCTGCCGGCTGCGGCCATGCTCAAGGATCGAGTACCGTTGCGGAACGTGCCGTTTGTGGATGTGAGCATGTTTCGCAGCGGTACGTTTATTGCTACGTTTGTTGCGAGTGCTATTGGGGTTTTTGCACTCTTCGTGCCGAATTATTATCTGCCGCTGTTTGCGCAGTCGATTGGCCTTAGTCCTACAACGGGCGCTGGCTTGGTGTCTGCCTTTAACGCTTGCAGTGCTATTGGCCGTTTTATTGCTGGGCCATTGTGCGATAAGTTGGGGCCGCTTAATATGTTTGTCATTACTATGGCACTCAATGCGGCGAGCATGCTGGCTATCTGGCCTGTCTCGAGTACCTTGGGTCCCCTCGTCTTGTTCGCCATCATAAACGGAGTCGCCAATGGTGCTTACTTTACCACCCAGCCCACTGTCGTTGCTGGCATCTTTGGTCCTGGCCGCGCGGCCGTTGCCATGAGCATGTCTGTGACGGGGTGGACCGGTGGCTACCTCATGGGCGCACCCATTGCTGGCTATCTTTTACAGGCTGCAGGTGGGGGAAAGGACAATGCTGCGGGTCAGAGTATTGATGTTTATCGCCCAGCCATCTTCTATGCTGGCGGTACGGCGACGATATCTGCACTGTGTGTCATCTTTGCAAGGCTCACAGTAGCAAGGCAGTTCAAGAAGAAAGTGTAATTTCTCTGAAATGACTGAGATACAGTAGTTAGATTTCTGGTCACTTCGCGTATCAGTCTAATGCTTTGATATGATCCAGTAAAAAGTATTCTGTTCTTGAAGCACTTCATTCATCTTAATTTATGCATTGCCCGGTAATAGAATGATACGATTGATTTTCAAGCTTACAGAGGGGGGTATCGTCATGTTTCAGTCAAGCAGAGAAATACAAAAGGCCCCATCTACAAAACAGAGCATGCCTAAGAAAAGAAAAACGAAAAGGAAATCCCTACCGGAGCACAATATCCTTCTTGACTGGGCTCCGCCGAGTCCACGCGTCCTCGTGTATCCTCGCCACAGCCACCCGCTCAGCATGCTCACCCACCCACTTAATCAGCATAACGTTAAGCATTTTCCAAGGCCCAGCTTCAAACTGCTCAGCCGCAAAATCGTCAACCTCCTTGTCCCACAAAAAGTGATCTCCAGTCCAGATGGGCGTGCCAGGCGGATGCATGGTATTGAGACCAGCAGGTTTACGGTTCTCAGGACACGGTTTGCGCCATAGATTACGTGAGAGTAGGACAAATTCGTAGGGCCCTGTGGATGATGGCTGGGAAATAGAAGATTCGTAGTCCATAATTACACCACAGTGCTGGTCGTCTTCATTGATGAGGTGCGAACAGGGAATTTGCTTGCCCTCGTGGTCGAGCTGCTCTGCGCTGAAGCCATCCGCGGAAATCGTCGAAGCGGTGAAGCGCAAAGTGTTGGAATCCGTCTTGTGATCTGAGCCCCGTGGAACGTGAAAATAAGGCGGGTATTTGATGCGGAGGGAACTGCTGCCCTTTTCTCTTCGTATGGTATATTGCGCGGATTCGGGACCAATGTGGTAGTTCAAGACTTCGGAGCGAAACCACTCGCCCTCGCCACGCGGCGTCTTGTAGACGTCTGGACAAGTAGTAGGGTCAAAGGGGAAATTCACGGGACCGCTGAATGCAGACCAACTCCAGCTTGGTTCGTCCGTATCTTTTCGATTCAAGTGGCCTGCAGGGCACCATAGCAGTGAGAAATCGAATACAGCCTCGGGCAGGCCGTGAATGAACTGGCCACCGCAGTTTTTGGTCAAGGCTTTGGATGCCTTTGTGAATTCTTTTGATGGGTAGGCCTGGTTTGGCGAAATGGTGTTACAGACGAGCTGATTATACTTTCGGAAGCCATGAAACCAATTTTCTACCTCGCTAAAGTCAATGTCCTGTGACTTGTTGCTGCCCATGCTGGTACTTGATGAGGAGCGGAATCTGCTGACTATTTCGCGTACTGAACCACGGCGGCCGGAAGTGCTTGAGCGTGGCGAGCGAGATTCGTCACTGTTACTTCGTGCTGGTTCTGGCGCCAGAAAACCGTTTGCTGTTGTCGGGCTAATGCTTTTTTGTGGCGATGTTGAACGCCGCGAGAGTGGGCGACGGATCCAGGCCGGCGATAATCTGTCCAAGGTAGAGGGGTTATCGGTCGACATGATGAGCAGCGACATGGAGTGAGCCGGGGAATTTATTAAAAGGGATATTCAATAATGTAGAATCGTCGTCAAGGTTACTCTTTGGCCAAGGCGGTGAGTGTGTAGAATGATAAAACGAATGCTTTTAGCGACGAACAGGTTGGGCGTTGAAAGACGAACAGCGGCTGTCGCGCCTTTTTGTGAATCCAGCTCACTTGTCAATGTTGCCGCTGTGAAATGGCTGCGCCCCTTTCGGCATGTTACGAAGGTGTGTTTGGAGGGGGTAAGTATGTGTGACGCTGCGGGCACTAGGAGTAGGAGGAGGCTGTGCATGATCTGGATCACCGGGCTCCACCGTGCCCCAGTTATCTGCACCGACTTGACGCCAGCCGCTCCCAATCATGCAGTCTCGGCCTGTCCTGACTGTGGTGCAGGGCCAAGGTTTGCTTGTCGATCATAAGCTTTCGTCAGCTCTTGCGACCCGACTGTCAAGATGGGGATGCCCATCTGGTTGTTTGGACAGGAGCTCGAAGCGGGGGTTGTGCCAGGAAACGTTGAATTAAAATGCTCACGGAAACGATATTGCACATGTGCAAATTGTCGGGCAGGGGCTCACCGTCACTCGCCACCTAATCTCCTTGTTGCTCCAGGGACATGGGGACATGCCGCCACTCAGAGTGGAAAAGCGGCCGTTGAACAGTTGCAGTTGTTTCGTCCAGTGTCAGAAAGTACCAGTGGAAAGAGGCGACGCCGAGCCAAGAATCGCCTATGGCATGCGCCACATGTACTGCGCCACACACGTGCCACAGCGGGGTCGCCTCTTCCCCATGCTCGCGTCAAAGGCAGCCGTCGTGACGCGTAGTTTTGCACAGCTCTATAAGCCGAACTGGCGAGCGCACCGGCCGGAACCTCCGTATATCCACCGCAATTGGAACCATTGCCACCATGTCTGGCTACGAGGGTAAGTCTGCTCGTCTGGAAGCATAGTCGGTAGAATAACCAGAGGCAGTCGAGCACAATATATCCACCAAGGATGAAAAGCCGCAGCAGCCCCCGCGTCGACCAGACCTCTCCACCTTCTTTTCGCAGCTCGAGCTTGTAGATACATCCGATCCACGGTCACACACAAACCCCAATGCTCTCCCCCAGCCCGAGAATATGGCAGCGGCATTCCGCTTACTCGCGAATGCTTTCGAGACTATGCGCGGACGACCAGCGGACGAGGCCAACGCAGAGGGAGACTTGTTGGCTAGCATGATTGAGATACTACGCGAGAATGCCGATGATCCGCCCACTGAACTTAAGGGCGTACCCGACAGCTTCCTGGACGAATTGGAAAGGGTGCCCAAGGAGAAACTAAAATCTTCCGACACATGTCCAATATGTGTCAACCCTTTCCTCGAAGGTAGGCTGCATATCGCAC